TCGAACACAAGGCAAAATTGCTGGGTCTGAGTGATGTTCTCTATTGGCACTTTTATTACTTGTTGTACAAGAAGTGGCAGCCCCAATACTAATTAAAATAAGTGTTCGGACATGCAGGAGATATTCTGGCTTTCCAAGCCAGAGCCAAAATGGTTCATTGCTGCAGTGGAGAGGACAGTTCCTGCAGGGCTCCTGCCTGCATAGGCTTTGTGGGAAAACAGCCTTATCACCTCCAGGCTTGAGCAAGCTGCAGGGAATCTCTCCATGATTCAGTCGAGACGGAAGAGGCCTTGACCCCAGCCTGCTGATTTTTGGTTCCCCCACAAAATCAAATCAGCTTCTCGGCCAAACAACTTCCTCCCCAAGCCTAGTCCCCAACTCTTTAATTTCCCTTCACTAGGCCCACAGATGGGTTTTTCCTCCCACTCCACCACAGGGCCCCCACAGCCTGGGGTGCAGTGCCCGGGACATGTTTGCTTTCACACTGACTCACTTCTGCGCCCGTCCCACCTCAGACCACAGCAGCCCTGGGCTGAGAGTGAAGAAAACTGCTCCCAGCAGAAGCTGAAGCCATGTGAAATCTGACAGGTTTCTAATACGTGGCCAAGCCTGTGTCCTAGGTCAGGTTTATTGACAGGGTCACAACATGTAAACAGCACATGCTTTCCCTGCTCCAGACCTTCCGCAGAAAAGATGCCTTGTGTACAGATAACCACAGCTATGCAGGGTGGGATCCTGGGTTGTGCAACGCCTGGCACCTCTCCAAATTATCTGTTTTGCACTGGCCTCTTCCAGGAGGAGCTCAGAAAGTGTGTCTTGTGAAAGGCTGGTCTCTGGGATCAGTAGCAAACTCTTTTGGACTCAGCTCCTTGTGCTGGGATCCTTGTGTGGCTGTGTATGGAAACATGACATGAGCTCAACGTGGTAAATGTGGAATGCAAAATCAAGGCTGCTGTGTGATAAGGATTCCCAGGATGCAGTCAGGACTCTGTCACGCTCATCCCAGTTATGCACAGAGGCAGCATATGCAAGAGCTGGCCCATCATCTCTCTGTCTACCTCTCTGTCCGGCTGTGCTGTGATCCACTCTGTTTCTCACAGCAAAGGGTTCTCTGTGTTCTGCCAGCAGAGCTTCATGGAGATATAACCGGAGGGCTGTGACTTTGGGAGAACAGGCATCTTGTGACTTTCCAAGTTTCACAATGCAGAGTGAGAGGACGCTGTTCTTTCCATATCCATTCTGCATATTCAGAGTTTTCCATTAGGGTCCTTTCTCAATAGGAGGAGAAAATGTTGCAGTAGGATCAGAAACAGGGAACTGAGCAGGGGGAGAGAGGGAAACAACTTGTCACAAAGTTTTTCCAATACTTGTCTGAGAAGCTTCTGTAAAGCTATTTCCTACTATCAAATTCCCCTCAGCATAGAGAGGGAAACAACTTGTCACAAAGTTTTTCCAATACTTGTCTGAGAAGCAATCTTCTGTAAAGCTGTTTCCTACTATCAAATTCCCCTCAGCACGCAAACTGTGAGCCCTGAGCTGGCAATCTGAGGGTTGCTGTTTCATGAGCATATTTAAGCACACACACCTCACCTCACATGCTTTCCTTCATCCTGGAGCATTATTTCTGCAGATACCTGTTCAGGGTTCAGATTGAGCTCAGCTCTCATTGAGATGAGAAAGTCTCATCCTCCTGTCTGTTCTCAAAAAATTGCTTTTTGAGGGTTACATATATTAAGAAATGGCACAGTTATGAAAACATTTTGCTTTTCATCTGTCTTTCACGGAAACCTGTCTTTACTAAGGCTGCTTTTCTTGGAGAGATTCTAGCTGCAAAACAGTATTTCATAGCATTCTTAATGCTGACAAAGAAAATAGCCTCTCTCTTCCAGCCTTAGTCTTTGCCATCTAGTCTTTGTTCATGTTCACCTCCAGACTTGTTTTTAGATGAACAAAATTCAACAAAAGCAGCTGTCCTGAAAGCTGACTGATCACTACAGGTTACTGCAGGGAGGCTGGGATTTTCCAAGCCAGCCAGAGGTATTGCTGGGCATCACAGTGATGTCCCAGATGAGGATCTTAAGTAGGTGTTGGAGGTTGCACAGGGAGGCACTGATACTTGTTCTTGACAACACAAAATGACAGCCTAACCACATGTTACCAACAGAGCCCAGGATGGAAGGAATTGTGGTCAAAAGCTTTGTTCGACAGGACAGACAAGTAGAAAATGTCACCTACATGTAACAAATTACAGTCAGAGCCATGCTCTGCACAGACCCTGACAGCTCTTGAAAGCCAGAATCATATACCCTCCCACTTGTACAAATTCAAGCAAGCTGCTTCTGCTGCACCACCAGCAGACAAGAGTTCTCTCCAGAACTAAGGATTTTAATGTGGGAAGTGAAAATGGTGAAAGTTCCCTGCTTCCTGCCCTGATTGTTCCTTATCTTTGAGACAAAAAGAAGCACAAATCCTACCAAGGCAAAGGATTTCTCAGCTAGATGAAATGATTTACAGAAGGAATAACCACATAATGATAGGCATAAGACAAGTGCTAAATTTACTACAGTTCTGTACAGGCTAATCTTGCATAAAATGAAGGCATTTAGTAATAGCCATCACTTCTCATCCTGCTTCTGGATTACTGCAAAACATCCCTGCTGCTCCTCAGCTTTTGCAAAATCTACCATATAGTGGATTGTATAGTATGTTTGGCAACATACTCAAAAACACTGTCATCTCTCAGCAAACTGCATATACCAGTTGTTTGCCAGAAACAGCTCCCTGAGGGTCACACAGAGACTCTGCTGGGAGACAAGAGTTCCAGGTTCTTGCAAAACATTTGCCTTGAGGTGCCACAGTAATAATTGACCTCTACAGGGATGTCTGTAATAAATTGCGGGGAGGCTCTGTTTCTAATGGCTCCATCAGCACAACTGATAACTGCTACTGAACTTGGTGAAACAGGTTGTTTACATAATATGTGTTTTCCTGATGGTCTGATACACAGTAATACACCATTATGCAGATTGCAAGTGTTGGTTTTGGCCAGACAGCAGCAGTTCTAGAGGATCTTTGAGCATAATGTTGTTTTTCAGTTCTGTCTCTTGATGAAAGGCTTGTAGGAAAAGTAGGTTTTTCAGGCTTAAAATTTAATCCAGGGTGTGGACGGGAGAACAGGACACAGCACACCCAGTCCCACATCCCGTGGTGTGAGCCACCAGCTTCACTCTGTCTCCATTTTTGCTCTGTCAGATTGAAGTAGCTTTCTGCTGATGGTCAGGTGTTTGGGATCAAATGTACTTGGCTACCTAAGGGCCTGGCTTGGGGTTCCCTGGAGTCAACAGCAGTGGCCTTTTGAAGACACCCTAGTAACTAAGTATTGGCTACCACCTGATACTCAAACCAACACTTCCAAAGAGCACCCACTTCCAGCTGGAGCCCTGTACCTGCATTCAAGGCCTTCAGCAAACTGGTTTTCAGCAGCACTGAGCTGCAGACACAATGGGAGGTGGTAGATCTGTCTAAATCTGCATAACATCTTGATGCTGAAATCCTAGTTGCTGAAGGCTTTTTTGGTTGAAAAGTGTTTCCTGAGTTAAGATTTGACAATGGTCATACAGGTTCAAAAATAAAAGCTAGGATAGTCCTTGCTCAGGTGGATCCTTGCAGTCAGAACTACTAATGATATACTATGTTTTTATCCAGTTCTCCCACTGGGATATTAGAACACTCTCTTAAGTACACTAAGTTGAACTTCCAGCTGTTGCTGATCTCAACTCAAAAGTAAAATCAGCTAAATCTGTGTGATGATGTAACAGGAAGGTGTTGAGTTAGCATGGGCATGTTACTCCTGATGTCTTTAAACATGCCCCAGAAGTGTCAGCAAGCACTGGATAACTGGAAACAGGAGCTGCCACAAACAGGTCTCTCTTGTCTGCTTGGTTAAGGATACAGCAACCATCAGGGGGGTGTGACAAATGAGAAGCAAGATAACCACTTTGAAACAGTTACAAATATTCTGCTTTCTGAGAGGGCTGTTTGGAATGTTTTCCTGTGTTTGAATGACTTCTCATTGTTTTTTTAAAGAAACACCACACAGAAGAGTGTCTGAGAGTCCTCCAGCACATCCCAGCTGATGCAGAATCAGTCAAAAGTTATGGACACCCAAGGGAGGCCTCAATAGATTTGTCACCCATCAGCAGGGCTGATGCACTGCTCCATAGCAGGCATGGAATTTCATACCATGATGTCCTTTGTTTCCCAATGCCAATCATGGTACTCCTCATGCTGGAGCTATATCTGTGCCTTTTTTTCTTCCTTTTTTTTTTAATTGAAAAAATATCTGGCATGTGGTCTCTGAAAAGGGTTCTGAAATGGACTTGGTGCATGAGACAGCTGTAGCAGATGACTTGACCAAACCACCTGAGAAAGGGGCCAGGAGGAATACAAATGAACAGAAAAGGAGTAAGAATTCCTCATCATTCCTTATCAAGATGCACCAATCTTCTTTAATTAGACCACTGGCTCTTGTACACCTTTACAAACAAGTTGCTGGATGCAGAATGCCTACTGAGACAACTAGTACTACTAATTTATTTTTTTTTTAATCCAGGCAGACCAAAAAATGCAAAAGGTCATATTCTGTAACACCTTTGCAATTCCTGTAGCACCATGCATGCCCTGGAGAGCAAGTCTACAATTCTGTGGAAACATTAACACCTCTTTGGTGAATTTTATGTTCAGATTTATTTCTTCCAGCACACATTAGATATTCCTACCCCCTACAGAACAGGGTACAGAAGATTTCTGGAAAGCTGGGCTTTCTACAAAAGTACAACCAGCATGCTCTGAAGCCCTCCCACATGATACCAAACACCGTGCATTCAACAGAGCTGCTGGTTAATGATCTCGCTCATAAGTGATGTTTTAACCTTAGAATGGTTTTTGTTTGCTTCAAAAGCCACAAAGCCAAAAAGGAAGTGTAGGAGAACGTGGGCAGGACAGTGGCCAGGAGCCTCATGACCTCATCTTTTTCCACCACATGGGGATTGGTAGCTGTGCTTGGGACAGGGTTTAAATTCCCGGAGCTCAGAGATGTCAGGCAGCAGGGGACGAGGGGAGAAAGCCAGAGCTGCTGGAAGCCAACTCTCTGGAGCTGCTGCTGGGATCACCAAGAGTGCTCTTATTGTGGCTGACTCCTTTAGCACCAGAAAAGGTAATTTTTTTTCTTTTTTACCTTATGTCCCAATCCATCTGCAGCTTTAGCCTAGGAAGCACTGAGCAGATCTTTGAAAACTGCTTCACTGGGCAGAGATGTTTGATATTTCTCTGTGGAAAAAGGTGTGCTTTTATAGGAGCAAGGTTGCTTTAGCAATGCCAGGTATTACACATAATCACAATTTTAAATTTGTGCACTGATAGATGTTGGGAGAAGTTTACTAAAACCCTGCCACTGAATCATCCACTAGAAACTCAGAGCTGGTGCTTGAACACAGAAAGCTTTCTTCCTCATGTAATCACTGCCTGGCAGTGTTCTTGTTTCTCCTGGCAGGCTCAGTTTGTGCTGCACAATCCTGAGTGGATGGGACAGTGAATGGGACACACTTCTCTGTGAAAACTGAAATTGTAATACCTCTATTAGAGTGTCCTGTCTCAGGGGCAGCCTTACTAATGCATTTTAAATGGCCCAAGCAGCTTTCTTCCTGCTGTGACTTACCAAAGTTTTGAATGACTCTTGTTCATCAGTAAATTGGTTTAAATTCTCAGGGATGTTCCTTATTCTGGGAGCTGGTCAGTGAGCTCTCCTAATTTCAGCAGGAATCTCTTATTTATTAAATTGCTAAAGCTGCAATGTGAGCAGCTATGGGAGCAACTACTTCACCTAATCCCTTGTTTGGAAACACAGGTTATTTTGTTCTAACTTCTGGATGGGGAAATGTTGGTCTATCAATAAAAGCAGTTTATGTTCATATAAACTGACTTTACTCAGCAAATCAAGTTGATAACCCTAAAAACTAGTTTCAAAATAGCTGACAAGTCAATACAAATTGCCTTAACCTGCCTCTTTTTCAAAACAATTGTGTTAAGTGAATGAAGATAAACCAAATCTGATATTTATAACGGTTTTTCAGAGAGCTTTGCATTTGCCTATGGAAGTCAGTAGACAACAGGAGTCAGTTCACCTTTTCAGAGTGGTTTTTCTCACCGCTGCTCAGCTCTTCTTAGCATTCACTTTCAACATCCTTGTACCTTTTTGAGCTGCTAAATCATGACAAGGTGGGTGGGAGGTGGTGATGGAGGATAGAAGAAATAAAATTAGCAAGTTGAATCCATAGCAGGGACCTGGTCTTGGCATATTGAAGTACACCGGGAAAAAGGGAAACCTATAACACTTTTTTGGTATTTTACTTTATTGACTTACTGTTCCAAAATATTTTCTAGGTGAAATATCACAATGAAGGTGGCAGTTCTGTGTTTATGCCTTATCAGCATCACAGCTGCATGGCCAGTGAGTAAATCACAAACACTACCCCCAGCACTTGCATTATTTCCTTTGCACATCAGCAAGAAACACTGATAAATGTTTTTTCTCTCTTCTCCCTTCAAGGTGATTCAATCCAAGAAGCATGCCATTTCTGCCAGCTCCAAAGAAAAATATGTAAGATCATTTTGTCTTTCTGTTAACTTTCTTTGATAAGTGCTTTTAATTTTTGTTTGTTTTGTTTGTTAGTTTTCCTTCAGAACACATTTTCTGGTACTTGTTCTATGATTGTAGATGCTTGCAGAACATGTCCTTACCTGGCTCTTATGAGCTAGTTTCAAAGCAGAGAGCCACTGATATCCACAGACTTTTTCCTGTGTCACGTGTCTTGGTTGTGGACTTTCATTAGTTCTATCTCCAGACCAGCACTGGAAATCTTTTTCCTTAAAGAAAAATGTGTTAGCTCTTAATTAAAAAGAGAAAGGGACCACAGTATGGCAATATTACTATAACCCATATTCATTAGTGTGGATTCGATGACAATATTTGGTGTTGGAGGAGCACCTTAATCCAATATCCTTTTTTTTTTTAATGATGTAAGTGAACTGCATTTAGTCTTGTTATATAGCTCCTCAGTTCATTCCCCATTGCTAGCTGTTACCCTTGTAAAATGGCTCTAAGAACCAACTACTGCATTTAGTTTAGAATCTTCATGAGGTGGGAGATAAATCACCCTCCAGAAAGGCCCTAAGAATTAGCAGGAGCAATGATTGTTAGATATAATTCCAAATTCCACTCAATAAAAACAAGACTGGATAAACTGACCTGAATTTCCCCAGGCTCTGCCAGTGAGAGAGGCACATCCATCTATCTTATGAGTACAATGTTCATCTGGGATGATGGCTTGTTCTGAGTCCTCTTCCTACTGCAATGAACAGCTGAGGACACATCCCACACAGAAGGACTGTGTGCTGCAGATTCCACATCTGCCTGAAAGCACAGGTTGGGATACAGCAGTTTTGCCTGCTCCTTTGAGGATTAACCCCACCTTTTATTTTCTCTTGAAGGACTCCAGGGGCCATTATTTGCAGAGATATCACAATGACCATGTGAATTCCCAGTCTCAGGAAAGTCAGCAGCACCCAGAGAGTGACCTGGCATCATCTCAGCAGGTACAGACACCTAACTGGAAGAGAAAGCAGAGCATCTTTCCATGCCAAGATTTGCAAGTTATGATTAAATGCTTAAAGAATAGTCAACATGTTGATCAGCTCCACTGTACGTGCCTTTGTGTACTAACATTGAGCTCTGTGTTCCTTTCAGACCCTTTACTCTTCAGAAGAAAGTGTGGATGTCCCAGAACAACCGGTAAGTGTTTTGAAGGACAGCATGTCCATTGAGTGCTGTGGGGCAGCCAGTGTGGTACAGCTCTCATTTTCCTCACTCAAGTGTGGCTCTTGCAGTAACATCTCCCCCGAAATAAAACAAAGCTCCAGGCAGGGGGAGGTGAACTCAGTGCAGTGCCTGCACATAGCTCCTTAACAGTGTCTGTGCCCTGGGCCAATGGGACAGGTACCAGTCTGCACCTCTCTCATCCGTGTTCAGTTGCCTGATGTGTAATAAATGTTTTCCAGCACTTTCCTGATGTGTCAAGCAAGAGCCATGAAGATGTGGATGATGATGATGATGATGATGACAATGATTCCAATGACACGGATGAATCCGAAGAGGTTGTCACGAGTTTTCCCACAGACATTCCAGTAACCGAGCCATCCCCCACTTTCCCGTTCACCCGGGGAGACAATGCTGGCAGAGGTGACAGTGTGGCCTACAGGATGAGGGCAAAAGCTGCACTGTTGAAGGCTATCAAACTCCACAAAGCTGCCAAAAAGGTGAATAGCACTGACCAGTGGTGCTCATGTTCTTGGAAATGGGGAGTGAACTTGAAAGTGGACATGGCATTTTATGGGAGTTGGTTTTGAAAACTGTATAGGGAAAGTAGGCATAAGTGAAGGAATGCATTTCCTTTCTCTGGATACCACAGATCAGGGCTCTCGATGCACTGGGGCAGGAGTGCAGCCTGCTGCTGCAAGCTGTGCAAAACTGCAGGTTGCACTGTCATGATATACTTGCACACATGAAATCTGAGGCCAGGAGCAAATTAGAATTTCCATAAAGTGAAAGGTTCATGTAACTCCATAAAACACCAGAGTATCTCCAGGCAGAGGTTCATCATGCAGGCTTTGAGCATCCCTGCAGTCCAAGCAGCCTGCATTAGTGCAGTACTTGATGGAGCAGCTCCTCAGGAGTGACAATGCCTCTTATTCTGCTCTCTAACACAGCTCATCTACGATGCCACCGAGGAAGATGAGAGCGACATGGATGCAGACAGCCAGCGCTCTGTCTCCCGGGAGGATTCTGCTTCCCGCAGGTCCCTGAGGAAGTATGTCAGCAGTGTGGTATGGTCTGACCAGAGCCACGGGCGGGACAGCAGCGAGCCGGACAGCGACCTGTGGGACCACAGCTTGGAGAACGACAGCAGGCCCAAATCCGACAGCCACGAGGCAGGAGGCCACAGTAGCAAGTCTGGTGTCAGAGGGGACAGCCTCTCCAGTGTGGAAAGCAGGAAGAGAAGGGACAGCCAGTCGAGTGTGGAAAGCAAGGAGAGCCGGGACAGCCACTCCAGTGTGGAAAGCAGGGAGAGCAGGGACAGCCACTCGAGTGTGGAAAGCAGGAAGAGCAGGGACAGCCACTCGAGTGTGGAAAGCAGGGAGAGCAGGGACAGCCAGTCGAGTGTGGAAAGCAGGGAGAAAAGGGACAGCCATTCGAGTGTGGAAAGCAGGGAGAGCAGGGACAGCCAGTCGAGTGTGGAAAGCAGGGAGAGCAGGGACAGCCACTCGAGTGTGGAAAGCAGGGAGAAAAGGGACAGCCACTCGAGTGTGGAAAGCAGGGAGAGCAGGGACAGCCACTCGAGTGTGGAAAGCAGGGAGAGCCGGGACCACGTATCAGCTCAGCTCTCTGACGATATCAGCAGCCAAACGCTGGAAAGTGCCGAGGATTCTCAAGATCGTCACAGCATTGAAAGTAACGAAGTCACCCTTTAGAGGCAGATAAAAATAATGTTTCCCTTCTTTTCCAATCCCTGCCTAAGGGGAGCAGGGAGTAGCTTCATTTCGGGGAACTGTGTGTTAATGTAGTTCGCGTGGTGACTTGGGGGTTCGGGGCGCTCCGTGGCCCTGGGCTGTGCCGGCGGAGGCTGTGGGACACGGCGGGCGAGCGTCGCCCCTCGGGCACCCCGCTCTCTGCGCTGCCGGGCGCTGTTTGCTGTAACGGGACTTAAATAAAACCTCAAAATCCTATTCCTGCATTACTATTCACTGCGGCTTGGACCGGGCGGCGAGGGGAGCTTTAATACTTCTTAAAATGATGTGAAATGGCTGTTCCTCGCAAACTTAACCAGCACAACCTCTCCGCGAGGCCTCCTCGTACTTTGATGAGCGGGCCGCCACACACCCAGCGCCGGCCCCTGCCCCGCTGCCGCAGGGGCGGTCCGGGGCTGCCCCGGAGCGCGGTGGGAGGAGGAGAAGGAGGGCGGGAAGGAGGTCCCGCCGGGAGCCACGGGACTACATCTCCCTCTGCACCGCGGGCCTCCCGCCCCAGGGCGGGGAAGGGGCGGCGGCGGCGGGCCCGATGGCGGGCGGCGGCGGCTGCCGGCGCGGGCGGGAGCAGCTGGAGCTGGAGCGGCTGGGGCCGGCGGCGCGGCCCGGCTCCTGCCCGCCGTCGCCGCCGCTCTCCGCCTGCTCGCGGCAGGCCTGGAGCCGGGACAACCCGGGCTTCGAGCCCGAGGAGGACGCGGCGGCGGCGGGGCCGGTGCTGGAGATGGAAGTGGAGTGGGGCAGCCGAGCCGCCTCGTCGCTGGGCAGCGCCGCGGGCCCGTGGGGCCGAGGGGCCGGGCCGCCTCCCCGGGCCGCCCGACGGAGCCGCGCCCCGCAGAGCGGCCTGGGCCAAGTGCCTGGCGCGGAGACTGCGAGGTGAGGGAGCCCGGGCACGCAGCCCGCAGCCCGGCTCGGCTCCTCAGCGCTTCCTGCGCCCTGCAGTTGTTTGTAGTCTCTCGTCCTCCTTTCCCTCTGCCCGTGTCCTTTTCCATCCTTCCTTGTGTCTCTGTGTCCCCATCTCTTCGTGCACATCTGTCTTCCGATCCCCGCGCGGTTGTGTCTCGCCCCCGTCTCGCTCCGTCCTCTCCCCTCCTCTCTGCCTCCCGGGTCTCACTGCTGGCTGCTTTCCGTGTAAGACACTCCCGCACAGGGGAAGTTCAGGATGGACATGAGGATGGATTTCTTTACAGGAAAGGTGGTGTTGGAATGGACTGCTCAGGGAGGTGGTGGAGCCACTGTCTCTGGAGGTGTTTAAGGAAAGACTAGATGTGGTACTCGGTGCCATGGTCAAATTGACGTGCTGATGTTGGGTCTTAGGTTGGATGTGATGATCTCCAGAGGTCTTTTCCGACCTCGGCTTTCTGCCCCAGCATCAGGTCTTTGGAAGGTTGGAGCGGAATGCTTGTGCTTTTTTTTCAGCAATACCCCGTTCACAGAAGAGGTGGTTAGGATGGGATGGGATACTTAGAGTGGGCTGCTGGGAGGGTGCTTGAGTCACTTTTTTTTTCTTTGCAGTATTGTGCAGTGCCTTGGTGCTGCCCTTTACAGTCAAGTGCTTCCTGTTGTCACCCAGATGGTGACCAGGGACAGAGCTGGAAGCAAAACTGAGCACATATCAAGTGAACATTTGAGGTGTTGTTCAAGGCTTACTGCAGTAACTCCCTGCTGAGCAGCCTTGTACAGGGTTGATTTGACAACAGCAGAGAGAATGCTGGATGGGGAGTTCTTTGGATTTAAAGTGGTGGGAGCACATTGAAAAACCCTCCCTTCTTTTCAGAGAAGCTTAAAATGTCAGCTTCAAACTAGAAGGATTTTAAACAGAGCATTTGTTTAAGTGTAAAATCTTTATAGTTATAAAGCTGCAGAAAAAGCAAAGCATATTTAGAAAATAAAGATTCTTCTTCTGAAATGTGGATTTTCTGAAGATAGTACATAGTACGTTACTGGCTGCCACAGCATCAGTGGAACTGTCAAAACAAGCTTGACTTTAAGCAAGTATTTGTACCTTCTCTGATTTTCATGTGCATTCAAAGATTGTTTGCTGTAATGATTTCTCTAGCTTTGGCTGTATCGCACCAAAAGAAATCCCTCTTGAACATTGCAATATCTTAGTGGTATGCAAGTCAGACTTGCAGAGGTTATGGAACAGAGCATGTTTTCTTTTTAGCAGATTTTATTGGGACCATGTTCAATGACCCAAGTCACTTCATAACAAGAAGGCAGAATAACCAGGAAAAACTACCAGTAATAATTGTGCATGAATTGGCACTGTGCTGTTTGGAGTCTCCAGTGGTGTGTTTTAGTCAATTGCTGTGATATGTAATTGCCTAGGAAAAGAGCTGCTTCACATGGAGAAAGTTAAGTCCTTTTATAAAAACTTCTACAAAGTTTCTATGCTTCAGATGCTCCCTTTGTCTTAGTTGTTGCCAAGAAGGAACCTCCTCTGTATATTTTTAAGTGTGGTAAAAAGCAGCAGTGTTTGTACATGAGGCGAATGTGAGTGACCTGGTGGTGGCCTGGCAGGTGTCCTCCTGTTCCATCTCTGTTGTGATTTGTGCAGTAGGACTCAAAACAGTTTCTGGTGATTCCTGACCACCTTCTATAGGCAGGTGTAGCTAAAGTTGCTGTAGTCGACAGACCCTTTTCTGGCTCTTTGATGAGAATGTTGCCATAATTTCCTGGGCACAGTAAATGTCTGGGTGAGACTTGGGTGCTGTGGAGGTGCTGCAGGGCACTGTACTTCTGTGGAATAGGTAACACCTTATCTGAGGAATGTGATCCCTGTGCTGCACAGTTTAAAGGGGCTGATTGCCAGCCTGACATTATTATAGGGCACTTGAAGGATAACTGCGGGTTTGCTATTGGAAAGAATACTCCACAGTTCTTCTGACATTCCATGGATATCCACGAGTATCTTTGAAGGCTGGAAATGGTGCATTCAGTTTTATTTCAAGGATTACAGGAAAGTTATTTAATGGAATTCCATCTCACTAGACAGAATTCAACAAGAGGGAACAATCCTTTGGATATCACAGGTGATAGTGTCACCATGGCAAAAAAAGTTCCACTTATTATTGAGGGATGTTCAATGACAGATTGCACTTTACTTGCTGTGAGTTATGGAAGAAAAATTCAGAGAGGATTTAAAGTATTGGGATTTTGGTAATTGCTGTAACAGGAATTACTAAATGAATAGAACCAGCTATCAGTAGTTGAGGTTCTTCTTTCCGTGGATTCTGTTCAGATTCTAACATGAATATTTGTGAAGTGCCTTTAGTTCCTCTAGTTTTACAGATCTCTTCAGTAAATATCCCAGATGCTGAGAGGAGAAAAGGGACTGATTATTCTGCTCTGTTAAGGAGGAAGTTACCAGAAGTTTTGATGGGTAAAAACAAGGTGTGTTTCCAGAGCCAGCCTGGAAAGGTAATCCTGCCTTGTAGAGCTGTACTTGGTCACCCAGTGCTGCCATGCCCTCATGTGTGTCATCACTAAAGTGTGTTGGGCATTTCTTGAAAGGTTTTCTTAGTTATTGTTATATAAAGGTACAAAATACCCTTCCCAGTCACTTGTTAATTGCTACTTCCATGAAGACTGCTACATACAGAATGAGTATGAGCAACTGTTAGTTGTAGATTTATTTGATAAAAAATACACAGATCCAGTCAAAGAGTTGATGAATAGCAAATGGATGTAAGAAAACAAAACAGTTTTGTTGCTTGCAGCAGATGTCAAATCCAGCACTGCTTATCTCTATGTTTGATGCATCTAAATCAATATTCTAATAAGGGAAAAAGGGGAATAATATATTTATATTTCAAAAATGTAACAGCTAATGAAAGCTCCAAGCTAGCTGATGGGAAAATTCATTGTTCATTTAGCAAAAAATCATTGTGTGATCCCTGGTGCTGTTTAGTTGGATTTTTTCTTTGCTGTAACTTTCTGTTCTTTGCTGACTTGACACCTAACGATAGTCTAATATGACAGAGTTTGAGTTTGGAAACTTTCTGCTTCTGCTCACCACATTTCTTATTGGTGAGTAATGTGCTGACAGCCGGGACTTGGCTTTCTCGCCTGCTTAGCTCACTGGCTTTTCCAGCCTTTTCTTCCTCTCTTCCATAATGTCTTCCTGCCTTTTTTATGAAGGTTGCTAGTGCAACGTAGTGCTGTGCTAGAGGCTGAATTTTTTGAGTTATTATTGACTCAGTAAATGTTCTGGGATTTGTGTTTTTGTCTTCAAGAATGACATAATGGGGAGGATTTGGCATTCGGTGTAGTAAAGTTGCAGTCTTTATTGCACATTTTCAAACTTGGCCTTAAAGAACAGCTTTGAAAAAGCTCTCTGTCAGCTCTGGGGCTGACACTAGGGAAGGCCCTAATTTACCAATTAAGCCATGTGAGCAGTGATTAATGCTGAAACTCTTAGTGCTTGCTGTGCCCATGCAAGAGAATTTTCCAGGTTTATGTCACAACTTAAAAATGTGGTAGCTGAAAGGCTTCAAGAAACATCTAACACATTATTTTTTTTTCTCATTTATGCAGATAGAGGGAAGAGTTTCCTTATTCCCATCTCTGTTAGCAAACAAAGGTCTGCAGCAGGCAGCTTAGCCCATTGTCTTAGCCTTAAAGCAGTGGTTGCAGATTGACTGAACTCATGCTTCATTGTCAGGTTTATAATGTGTTTTGGCTATCCCTTGTTACTGTTCCATTTCAAATTACTGTGGTATGTTTGATGGATCCAGGATTTTTCCTAGGGAGTTTGTGGTTACTACATTTCCATCTGCTGAGAATGTAAAGGATGTTTTGAAAAGTTGGCAGTTTAAAACACCTGAAAAGGATGGAAGTTTACTGCAGTTCTGTAGGAGTTAATTGTTAGTTTTAAATGCTTTTTCACTGATCAGAAACTGAGGTCAAATTGCCTTGCTTTAGGTTTAAATGAAGAGAAGCTCCATGAAGGGAACAGTCTGAGCAACAGCAGCTGTTCCCAGCTTTTTTTCTATTCTGTAACTAAGCATAGGAAATAAGGATGGTGATTGCTAACTGCATTTTGTTTCAAGGTGGTTGTTCCTTTCAAAAGACTCCGTTTAAAAGATCCTTTTGCTTTTTTGTTACCCACTTGGAAGAGATCACCAAAGTTCATTAGCTTCTCTCCTTGTCTTTTTGGGAATGTCAAGCATTATATGAAGTGAGGACCAGGCAGAAACAGTTCAGCTGATGCAGTTGCTCAAGCTGACAGCTAGACTGTACAGCAGGTCTCATTTAGGCTGCTACTGATGTTTAATTGATAACTCTTGGTTGTGCAGGGAAAGAAATCATGCAGAAATTCAAGTATCCTCCTTTCATGTAGAAAAATAAGATTGCTCCTAAAGGCTCAATAATGAATGTGCATTTTCATTCATTGAACAATGATTTGCTTGTTTAAGAGAAAACATATCAAAACACTGCATTTCCATTTCTTGAAGGATGGCTGTTTGTGCATGTCTCTGTATCCTTGTATCTGTTTTTATACCATGTGGTTCTAAGCGACAGCACTTCTGCAAATCTTCCACAGATTCTGTTAGAGTTCTGCTGAACTGTTCCTAAATTATTATGGTATCTCGTTGATAGTTGATACTGCCTGAGGCCTCATTCTGTCTACAAATGAAGCTCCTCTTGCTTAAACTTAAAATCCATAGAAGAACCTGCAGCAATGGTTAAGCTTTCAAGTTTAAAGTTAAGCTTTCAACAAAGGTTAAGCTTTCAACACCACTTAGTATGTCACTTGTGTATCTGTGCACATCATTATATATATATATATATATCTTTTTCCTTTTAAGGTCTGTGGGGGACAAGACTCATGGAAGAGAGCAACACCAGCAGAGAGCAGTATTTGAAAAGTATATTACGGGAGCTGATCACGTACATGGTTTTCCTCGTGGTCCTGTGTGTCTGTAAGTACTACCAGTGCATCCAGTTCTGTACTACCTGCTTGTGATTCCAGAAAGAAGGTTGTTTGTGGGAGAAGAAGTAATAGACAGGTAGGCAAATGCTTGGAATCAAATATTTCTCTTTTTTCTGCTGATGGGCTGTTGCTTGAGACTGAAAATATTACAACTTTCTGCACCTTAACAAGTTTAGAGTCTTCAGACAAGATGATAATAGACTTGTTCTTTGTTTTTAGAGAGCATTTTTTTATTGTAGTACTACATGGCAGTGTGATACTTCTGCTACACTTTTTGAAATCACTGAGCAGAAATGGTAAATGAAGAGGAGGAGTTAGTCATCCAGGACAGATAATTGAATCACCACATTTGAAGTTCATCAGCAAGGTTATATACAGATCACAGCTGGAGACTTCTGTGGTTTGTGCCATTTCTTGTCTTGGTACCATATGAAGTATCATAACAGGAAAGAACACAGAACATAGTAACATTTGATTTACAATGCAAGAAACAACTTCTTGTGGAGTTACAAGCTATCTGTTTTATTTGTTTGTTAGGGAGAAAACCTACAAAATGTGTACACTAAGTTACTGTATCTTTAGAAAGCCAGTATGTTTCAAGTCTCCAGTTTTTAGTGTGAGCAGTTCTGCCCTAAATGCCTGAAATGCTAGTGACTCTTGATTTGTCATTTATGATGACCTGTAATACAACAAAGTGATGTTTTAAATTTTTGTGAGAGGGAATCTCAGAGTGAAAAAGTAAAGGCAAAATTACACTGGTACTCTCTGAGAGCAAGTCTGCTCTGCTTGAACCTAACAGAATTATTAAAAGCCCACATTTTATGCTATTGACACAGCTGTTTTGATGTTGTACTGCAGGCATGTTTATATATTAAATATCACGGGTTTTTTTCCTTCCTGAGTAATTTAAGAATGCTTAGAGCAGGTTTATGAACAAAGCAGTGCAAGGGTGCTTATGGCTGGCACACTGTAGCACCAGGAGAAGTGTTGCAGTGAGGGGGTCTGCCTTAAAGTGAAATTTGTTTCAGCAGGAGAAGTTTGACTCTTAACAGGCTGTTAACTGTTTTGCTACAGAAAAAGATTTTTGCTAACAGAATAAAGGAAAAATGTAGTGTGTTAAATATCTGGAGATATTGCTAACTTATTAGTATTTTCTAAGTATCCTTTTTATTTTTCCTCAGCCATACCTTTAGCCCTGTGTGAGGAAAAGGAGTAATGCAGTCCTTTATTTTCTGTGAGAAGTTTCTCTTAAAAGCACTGCACAACTGTACTGGACATTCATTGCCTAATCCATGTCATTCCCAGTGCCCTGCAGTATCCTGGTTGACTGTCATTATCTGCTCAAGCAGAACATAGTTGTCCTGAGGTCTTTATGCCATCATTCCCAGTGCCCTGCAGTATCCTGGTTGACTGTCATTATCTGCTCACAGAGCATAATTGTCCTGAGGTCTTTGTGCCGTCTGTGCCAGTTCTCCCTGCATGCCTTGGATAGCACGAGCCACCTAAAAAGGCACTGCCTGCCTCTCTTCAGGCTGCTGAATTTTGCCTTTGTTTTCCTTGAGGCTTACTTTGGTAGAAGCATTAATAATAGAATGAGGTGTGGAAAGGAGAAGAGAGTATTATAGATTGATTGATCAGTCTGCCTTCACTGCTTTTTGTATTTTAATCACAATTGACAGGTAAATGCTGCTTGGTGTAGGTTTTGTTTTGGAGCATAATAGTTCCACAAATGCAACTTGATGTATTCAAAACAAATAAAGGTTTGTTTTTTGGGTTTGTTTTTGTTTTGTTTGGTTGTTTTTGTTGTTGTTGTTGTTGTTGTGTGGTTTTTTTTGTTGTTGGGTTTTTTGTTTGTTTTGTTGTTGTTGTTGTTGTTGTTGTTTTCAGTGGGTTTTTTTCCTCTTTTTTTCATTCCTTCATCTCTCACTCTTTACCAAACCTCCTGCAGTGACTTATGGGACTGTGAGTTCCAGTATGTACTATTATACAAGGGTTATGTCACAGCTCTTCCTGGAAACACCCGTGTCAAAAACAGAGAAAACTGATTTCAAAACTTTGTCCACAATGGATGACTTTTGGAAGGTAATCTAAACCCAAGTTTTTATATCTCTGTTGCTGTGGTTCACTGGTACTGTCATGAACCATAAATTTAACCTTCAGAATCTTTTTTCCTAATGTGGTCAGGCTTGTGCATGAAAATCTATGTGCACAATGTCAAAGCTATGGAACAAAGTAGGCCTTTAATATGTGAAAATTTATAACTCAAGTAATGTTGGTGGGGCAGGGCAAATTTGTGAAATGTCTTTGGAGGGCAGGCCATAGTAAAGTCTTATGCCAGAGAAATTATTAACTGCAATTCTAACACTTCTGTGGAATGAAGATCTACAAAAACAGTGCTGGCAACATGCAAACTGAAGTTCTGTCATCCTCCCCAGTTCACAGAAGGCCCTTTGCTGGATGGTCTTTACTGGGAGATGTGGTACAACAACAAAACCATGGCAGAAAACAAAAGCTTCATTTATTATGAGAACCTGCTCCTAGGAGTGCCCCGCATTCGGCAGCTGAAAGTCAGGAATGGTTCCTGCTCCATACCCGAAGATTTAAAGGAGGAAATCAAAGACTGCTATGATGTCTATTCTGTAGCTAATGAAGATACTGCTCCTTTTGGACTCCGGAATGGAACTGCGTACGTAGCATTCCTGTAGATACAGACTCATTTTTTATATGTGACCCATTTTTCTTTCTTAATTTTATTGTGTTAGTCAAAGGAACTTTTGTAACTTCTTTCTCAGAGGTTACATCAAAACTTTGTAGCAAGGACGCCATGAACTAAACCATATTTAATAGCTAATGCATGTTTTTTGGTCGGGTTTTGTTGATGTCTGTTTTATTCATTGCAAGTTAAAGGTGGAAACACCAGTGTGCTCTCTTTCACTTCTGAACTAGCTGGACATACACCAGTGAGAAGGATTTGAATGGCAGCAGCCACTGGGGCTTGATTGCCACATACAGCGGGGCTGGTTATTACCAAGACCTCTCAAGGACCAGAGAAGTGACAGCTCTGCAGATTGCAAGCCTGAAGAAGAACCTGTGGCTGGACAGAGGGACCAGAGCAGCCTTCATTGATTTCTCTGTGTACAATGCAAACATCAACCTGTTCTGCGTGATCAGGTATGAGCAGAACCACGACGGTGTTCAGTTGCACAGTGTGGGTTGTAGACCTGGGGTTCTCTTGTGATTGTGTTGTTTTGGGGACATAGGTGAGTATGTTTTGTGTAAAAGGGACAGACAACTGAAGTGCCATGCCTCTCTGTCAAAGAAGTGAGACTCCTCATGGAGTCTCTCCTGGCTTTCCCGGTGCCACAGTGCCTTGGGTGGAGTTTGCAGGAGACCTTTCTAAAGAGCTGGCATATTCAAGTAAATACATGGATATAGAGCATCAGCCTTTGGTTTAGGCAGCATGAAACAGGCAGAGATGAAAACAAATCTTTCTGTCTCTGTTTCCTCACTGTTCCTGAAAGGCTCTGAGTTTTAGTCAAAATTGAGTGTGGTCACATTTACAACTTTTGTGTGGTGTGAAAACTCGGAATCCTATGTGGGTTTGTTTCTATTATTTAGATAATTATACAGATAAACCCAAGTGTCTTTTAGTAGTGCTTTTCATCAGTTCTTGTTAAATTAAATTCTTTTTTTCTTCGCCTTTTTTTTAAATGCAGGTTGCTAGTAGAGTTTCCAGCCACTGGAGGCCTGGTTACATCTTGGCACTTTCAGCCTGTGAGGCTGATTCATTACATCTCCACTTTTGATTTTTTCCTGGCAGCCTGTGAAATGTCCTTCTGTCTTTTTGTTCTGTATTATATGGTGGAAGAGGTCTTAGAAATTCGCATTCACAGACTGCGCTACTTCAGAAGTGTTTGGAATTGCCTTGATATCCTTATCATTGTGGTAAGTAACCTTTGGAATCAGGCTAAAATTGCTTTCTAAAGTGCACTTTGTGGGAGACATGAATTACTCAGTGTTCCTGTTGTGGTTTTAAGGTACAGGACCATCATTAGGAAGGATACTTCCAGACTATTAGGCTATTCAGTCTGAATATGACAATTTTAGTCTGTGTTGCAATGTTGGTATGTTTCACAAAGGTGGTTGTTCTGTCTTCAGTGCTTTCTGCCTGATGCAAAGTTAGACTATTTGTCCATCATGCATTTTCAGTTTTTGTTTGTACAGACTTAGCTTTTATTGGAGGTGACAAACTTGCCCTCCCTTCTACATATCTGGTACAGACTATTGCACTGGCTTTCAAATAATAAAATCATCTGCTTTAAAGAAGTGATTTGCATTTCAAGGAATAGGACTGGGATTTGAATATGTTTGCAAAGAACCACAAGGAGATTTATCTTGGTATTAAATACTCACCAGCTAATACCAAGTTTGAAGAAGGGCCTCAGAGTTGTAGAGTGCTAGCAGCTGTTTAGGTTAAGTGAACAGTGTTGCACATCAGCAATCTTAGTGCACAGAAAATAGGAGCTTTGTTTATAAAGCTGCATAATATAATTCTTTCTGGACTCAGACTAAGCTGTGCTTACCAAACATATACAAAGCCAGAAATGCTGAAACAGTTCCAGTCCTATACTCGTTTTGTATCTTCAGCCTTGGATTAATCAAAGGTTTCAAGTCTTGAAGCCAGTATTTGTATTCCAGGGAAATCATACTTGCATCACAGTGCTTCGTAAACAAAGGGCTGCTTAGGAGGATGTTTACATGAACTGTGTGCTGTTTTTTACACTTAATGGTTGGGCAGGGATAAAATGCTTTGCTGTTACAGTCAGTGAAGAGTATTTAAGTGTGAGTGTAAAATTCAGTTCACACAAGAGGTCAGAATTCTATGTTTATGCCTTGCCTGAGGGGCATTGTTTAAATGTAGGATTATGTACTTATGACTCTCTATATGTGGTGAAGTGTTCACTTACAGTAATGAAGAACACATTTGCAGAAGTCAAAGCAAGAAAACCTCTGTGGTAAAACTGCAGCTTCTCTGCTGTTGCTTGTTCTGGGCAATACTGCTCAGTCTGTGCTCTGGAGAAACTGTAGTAGCTTTTTTACTACTGCTGTCTTTCTGCTCTGTGTTCTTTTTCACCTTTGTGTGTTTGAGTTGTCATATTCCCTTCCTTTCATTTTTCTTCTCTGTGACATCACTTCTGTGGTCCTGCTAGGTGCCACTGTCATCTTGTTCTTCACAAGCAGTGGCGAGGAAATGACTTCTAAATCTTCTTACTCCCAGACTATTTGTCTGTAGTCCAGGACTACAATGGTTTTACTGTGAAATGCATGAAGTTCCACATATCTTACCTTTATCGAGCATAAATGTCTCAAACAAGTTGTTTTAAAACCCTAATTACTTTTTGTAAATTTGTGTGTTTCTTTTGTCCTCAGCTGTCTGTGGTAGCTATAGGAATTAACATCTATAGAACATCAACTGTTGATATGCTCCTGAAGAAGCTGTTGGAAGATCAGAACTCATTCCCCAATTTTGAACCCTTAGCATATTGGCAAATGCAGTTTAACAACATTGCTGCAGTCACTGTGTTTTTTGTCTGGATTAAGGTAATTCAAGACACACATCTTTATTCTAACATTAGAATGTAAGCAGTATTCTGAGTTTCATGAGTCATGTTATTTGAGGTTTACTCATGTTTCTCTCAAAGTCAATCCTGTCAGAAAGTCAGAACAGTGATAACTTCTTGCAGATGAAAAGCTAAGTTGTAATTTGCCACAGGTGTAGTCAGCTCTTGTTTAGGTCTAGAAGACGTAGTCAGTGCTTGTGTTTTATCAGCAGACATGTTAAGAAATGTTTTTATTGCTCCTCAATTAATAAGTCAGTAATTCTTACTGGGTACTGCTTTGTCTCCAGCTGTGTTCAGTAAGACATCTCATGTAAAAGAGTGGAGAGCAATTATGTTCAGAAATTGTCTTCCTTCTGTTTTCAGCTTTTTTCTTTTCTTTTTTCTTTTAACAGCTTTTCAAATTTGTTAACTTCAACAGAACAATGAGTCAGTTATCCACCACGATGTCTCGCTGTGTCAAGGATGTCATTGGCTTTGCCATTATGTTTTTTATTATTTTCTTGGCATATGCTCAGTTGGCCTATCTTGTTTTTGGCACTCAAATTGATGACTTCAGCACTTTCCAGGATTGCATGTAAGTACAGGTATAAAAATGCAAAGAAGGTTTTGGTGCATTGGTGAATTGGTTACTTTATCAGAGGCACATCCTGTGACACCCATCTAAGCAGATAAGCTGCGGGCACACTGCTGTTGATATAACCTGGTAGCAAACACAATTTTATACATTTTTATCTCTGTGTTATTGCTGTCAGAGCAGTAAGCCAAAAAGGGCAGGGCTGGGTTGGTGTGATATGATTTTTACAGGGGTTGGTTACATTCCTAGACAAAGCAATGACTCCATGTTCAGTGATTAAATGCTTACTGAAATATTGGATGCATAATAAGGCTGTGTTCCTAATAGTGTTCATAGTTGCTTGACTCAGAGTCCATCTTAGCCAACCACAAAATTTATAAGTATCTGGAATCCAGGAGAGAGACAGGACTTAATATAAGATTGCTAATCAATTTTTCCTTGGTTGATTTGGCACAACATAACCTGATTGTTGAGGAAATTAACAGTTTGTTCAGTCTCTGATTTCCCCTGCTCCCTTACACTGGGGCAGTGTTGCAAGGAGTTTCTTGCAGAGAAGTGAAGGAAGTGGAAATACGCTGATGATTGCCAAGCTTCTTCCAGCTTAGAGGGAGAGGGTTGGGGTTGTATGTGTATGAGGAAGGTGGGAGTGGGTCTCAGAGCTTCACAGTAGTAACTGTTAGTTTGCTCTGCTTCCTGTTGTGACCACAAAGGAGAAATAACCCCCATGGTTTTGTTCTGTGTGTGGTATGTGACTGTGAGTTGGGTTATGCCTACAGATGTGCTTGATGAATTGTTTTTGCAGTCCCTGATAAAGTGTTACAACAGTGCAGATCTCTCTGCAGCCTATCAGTCACACTGCTAGAATAAAACAGTTTGAGAATCCTCGCACAGCTCCAGTAATATTTTCTTCAGCTCCTGGATGTGTTTTGTTTTTTAAGATTTACTCAGTTCCGCATCATTTTGGGAGACTTCAACTTCACAGAGGTTGAAGAAGCTAATCGAATTTTGGGACCTGTTTATTTCACTACATTTGTGTTCTTTATGTTCTTCATTCTTTTGGTAGGTACATTTGTTTATGTGGGGTGGGTCAGTGGCTGTTTTTGCATCACTTGTCCTTTGATTCCTCATGTGACTTCTGGGGCATTTTCTGAAAATGATGAATGTATGGCCCATGAAGGGGCCGGACTGCTACATGACTGGTCACTACACTCTTTCCTGTTTTGCCTCATTTAAAATTGATTTGCATAGTATGTTTTTTTGTCATTCTCATGTAGTGCTCCACATTGTGGGTTTTTAATTTATTATTATTATTATTAATTTTATTTCTAAAATCTGAACAGTGCCTGGTTGGCAGATACAGCAAGGCTGTCTCTTTTAGTGAAAAGTAGCTGTATTCCATGCAGTCTCTTGGTTCATAAAGTGCTCTAATGGGTGGCTGGTTGTGGTTACAGCAGCCTTGTTCTTGTATGCCACACACAGCTTTGCCTGCTCCAAGAGCATGGTTCTTCAGCAGTCTCCTGTATCATCATAATTTTTAGTGTTATTTAGTGACCCTCATAGTTAGTGCAGCTTTTTCTTGCTATTTGAGATGAGGAAGAATGGCATTCAGATTTTATTTGTGGGAAAATACTTAATCTTGGATGTTCACTAGTAAGGATGCAGAGAATTTTAAGTGTTTTGTGAGGAATTTAAGTGTTTTGTGAGGAATTTAAGTGTTCGGTGAGATGGACCAGGATTCAGTGAGAAAATAACATGTGTCACTATGTGCCAAAGGTTCACACAAAGCAGGTTTCCTATTTGCTTTGTAGCACCTAAAGCATTCCAGAGGAACAGTCTAGTGTTCAGCAAGGGCAAAAAGTATTGTTTTTCTAAGGGGCAACAGAAAAGCATTGGAAAGTGAAGTCAGAGCAGGTTATAAAAGACTCACTGTAATTTGTGTATTTTTTAGTATCATTTTGTATGTTTTAATATCATTTTACCTGAATGAAATGTTGATGCAAGTCCCTTGAGACCAGTCTGAGACCTGGAAATTAAGTTAGGGAAGATGGGCAGAAAGCACCAACTCTTAAAGCTGGGCAAAATAGCAGCAGAAAATGGCACAACAGTGAATTGTCAAGGTACCTCTTACTTCTCTGGTGTTGGGCATGAATGCATAAAGATATAGCACTGAAAGATTGTTCCAAAGCATGTTTTTTAAGTCCATGAGGAAACACTGCCTTTCTACATTGAACATGCCAGTAAACTGGATAACTCTTCTTGAATGTGCAATTTGTAATTCAGTCATGTTTACTCCATGTCTAGCAGGAGCCTTTCAGTGATGACAGCATGGTTTGCTTAGGTTACATTCTTGGCACAGGGTTAGTGAGACCAATATTTTCTCCTTTCTCTGAACAAGAAAGAGCTCTTTGCACAGTTGGTGCCATAAATGCCAAGTGCCTGATTTTAAGCTTTTTGATTTATCTTTAGTTTGAAATGCAAGCAGAGCTGTAATTAGATAAGAACCTTTGGTTTGTGCTGGTTATTTCAGGATGAGTAGTTAACTTGATTCCTCTGGCATTTTTGTTGCCAGCTGTTTTGCCTGGATTAATTCACAGCTATTACCCGTGTAAGTTTTGCCTTGCAGGGTTTACTGCCACTGCTGTGTGTAGCTGTGAGCCCTCTCTGGAAAGTAATTCTCCAGTTATGTTGATAACTAGTGGTGTTGAGTAAAATTTGTTATGCTGCAGCACATCATATTTCAATATCAAGCTCTGGTTGTTAGTTTCATTTTAAACACATCACCATTTTCTTCTGGTCTTTTGAAACAAAATCTGTGTTAAGGTCTGCACAACAAGGTCATAGGAGTAGTAGGGCTCAGCCCTGTTGAAATTTGAAATTTCAACATTTTTGTTTTCTCTTATGAACAGAACATGTTTTTGGCCATTATCAATGATACCTACTCTGAAGTCAAATCAGATATGGCACAACAGAAGGCAGAAATGGAATTGTCTGACCTTATCAGGAAGGTAAATGTAATACTTTGTTTTTTTGACATCTTATTCGTCACATCTGAACTTATTTCATAAAATACTATATAAACTGTAGAAAGTAAAGCTGGCAGCAGCTGGTCAGAGTACACATCTCAGTTAAAATAAATTAGTCTGAGCTGAGTGTAAATTAAATGAGTGAAAACTTCTCATCACAATGTATTTCAGTCATCTGAGACTTTGCCTTGAATGCTCACACTAAACACACTGAATGGGATTGTACAGTAGCTGATTTCTGTAATCAATAAAGTTATTAGAAATCTCGTTTCATTAGAAACAACAGATTTTACTTTCTCTTTTAGGGCTACAACAAAGCCATGATCAAACTTAAGCTGAAGAAAACTACTGTTGATGACATTTCAGAAAGTCTGAGACAAGGTGGAGGAAAACTCAACTTTGATGAACTCCGGCAGGATCTCAAAGGGTAAGGGAGTTGTTACTTCTTACCTTGAATAGTACACCCAGGGACTTGTGATGTTAACTTTTTGATGTGATTTTCCTCTAGCAGAAGCACAATGTGGATAAAGACACACACCAGAGTGGTTTTCCCTGTATTATGGCTGGTGTTGGCATCGCATACCAGAGAAAGGTTTTTGGAGCTCTGGGGCCCAACCTCCTTAAATTTCTGTGTTTTGAGGAGAAAAACACATAAATCTCTGAGGAAGCAGAGACCTAAGGCCTTTGAAGAAATGTCAGTGTTTCTGTCAGATCACTGCAGGAGTTTGTCAGGAGTCCAAGGCGAGGGTACAAATCAAGGAGATATAGACCAGAGTTGTGAAGGGGAAATGTTCAATGCAGGGAAGATTGGTCCTTTAACTAATGAAGGATAAGGACTGAGGGGTTTTTATCAGTGTTGTGAATCTATAGGCAACGCTGGGATGTCTTTGTCTTGAGGATGAAAGTCTATTTGAAGTGAAATGTTTTCTAATACAGAGTTCTTTCAGCATCTGAAAAATGGAAAGTGAAGGAAATGCTTTTTCTGCCTTTTCAGGAAGGGGCACACAGATGCAGAGATTGAAGCAATATTTACCAAATATGATCAGGATGGGGACCAGGAATTGACAGAGCATGAACATCAGCAGATGAGAGATGACCTGGAGAAAGAGAGGGTGAGCTCAGCGCTAGGAGTGGGATGCATCCAGCACTGTCTGCTTCCTGTGCTAGTTTCCTGCCTCAAAAAAATCCTCTTGTCCCCCTTCACTTCTGCTGTCATTCCTGGCTGTCTGAGCAGAACTCTAAAAAGGCACAGGGGAACTGATACAGACAGGAGCTCTTTGACCTTGACACCACCATCCCCCATGTACAGATGAAAGTTTTTTACATCTTCTCTCTTTCCCTCTGGCTTGTGTTTGCACAAAGGAGGATCTGGACCTGGATAGGAGCTCCCTACCACGTCCTCTGAGCAGCCGCAGCTTCCCCCGGAGCCTGGACGACTCTGAGGAGGATGAGGATGAAGACAGCGGGCACAGCTCCAGGAGGAGGGGCAGCAGCTCTAGTGGGGTTTCCTATGAAGAGTTCCAAGTGTAAGTTTATCCTTCTGAGGAGGACAAATCTGCATGTTGGGTTCTGGTTGTTTTTTTATTTCATTGTGGGTTTTCTTCTTTGGGTTATATAGTATTCTCTCCTCGATATTAATCAAATTATTCATAAAAGCAAGTGTTAGGATTTTGTTGCGCATAAGTCACTCCTTTTAGTAGCTTTCAAATAATATCTGAACTGAAAGTGCCTTAGAAAGCCTTGTGAGAGTTGGTTAGAATATAGAAAATCAGAATAAACAAAAAAACCCCAAAACAACAAAACCCAAAGCAACAAAACCCCTGTCTTAAAACCTTGTCATTGAAAAGTCAGAGAAAAGGGTCATGACGATAATGACAGAAAAGATTTTTCTGTTTTTGTAATTAGTAAACCATTGAGTTATTTTAAGTACAGTGAGAGCTTTAATGGTTGTTTTTAATAAGAGTGAGTTACTCCTGAGTGTGTATTTTGTCGGAAGTGATAGATCTCCATATTAATTAATTACAGCAACACTAGCTGAATAAAGAATTACATAACTGCAACCAACAAATTTTCATGATGATGCCCTAAGAGCAGAGTGCAAGATGTACTTTTTTTTCCCCATGTTTTACTTTCTTGCTCTGGTATACCTTGTCCCTCCTAGATAGAGGACTGGTCTGTGGGGAGTCAGAGGCGTGCTTGGATACCAGTGATGTCTCATCCTTGTCTGCTCTGTGTGTTGACATGCTAGAACGGTGCTGACTGGGCAATGTCCGAGTCACTGAAGCTCCCACTTGTTGCCCTCAGACTCATGAGGCGGGTGGATCGCATGGAGCATTCCATTGGCAGTATCGTCTCCAAGATCGATGCCGTTATCGTGAAGCTGGAAGCCATGGAGAGGGCCAAGCTGAAAAGGAGAGATGTGTTGGGAAGGCTGTTAGATGGAGTGACAGAGGTAAGAAACTTGCTCTTTGTGGTCTGGTCACAACCTGGATGTCTTCCTTTCTGTTGGCAGTTCTTCCTACTGCCTGGCTTGGCTGGATTGAAGGAGTGGTGGTAAAGAGGAGGTGGGTGCTTTGACAGTAAGTGAGTGATTTCAGTTAGGTGTTAGGAAAACATAAAATTTAAAACATGAAATTTTGGGAACGTGATTCAAGATTCAGATATGACAACATGTCTTATGGCAGCTGTGTCACCATTTAAACCTGTGATCTGAACAGCAGTGGTGTTCAGTAGTTGCTGAAGCAGCTCCTCCATCCCTTGGTGCCTGTTGGGATTAATATAATATTTTTTGTGGACTAGTCTGTTAGAGTCTATGGGATCCAGCCCAGTCTGCCCTTATTCTCCTTTGTTGCTTCTGGGACTGTGTGTGGCAGGTGGGAGAGGTCACTTCTGTCACCAGGGTTGCCTCTGCTGCTTCCCCTTTCACTCTCTCTTTCCTTGAGGGCCCTTTGGAAGTGGCCAGTGGGAGAAGTGTGTTACTTCTGTAGATGCTAAAATCTGTCAGGTGGAATACAAGTTGTGCTTTCCTAGGTGGCAACACAGACATTTAACTTCATCCCTGGAAGTAAAAGTTTGCTGTGGGAGCTGTTTCCCCATTATCCTATGGAAGTACTCAAGCGGTATAAGAATTTCTTGTGGTTGTACAGGGTTTTGCCTGGACTTCAGTTTGGAAGCTGCACTTCCAGCTTGTGTCTTTGAATGTGTTTAGGACGAGAGACTGGGCCGGAGCAGTGAAATCCACAGGGAGCAGATGGAGCGGCTGGTGCGGGAGGAGCTGGAGCGCTGGGAGTCGGACGACACGGCCTCGCAGATGAGCCATCGGCTGGGAACGCCGCTGGGCCTGGGCGGCCAGCCGCGCTCCAGGAGCTCCCGGCCCTCCTCCTCCCAGTCGGATGGGCTTGATGCAGGAGCAGGCAATGGGGGGAACAACGTGCACGTGTAGCTTGAGCTTTGTAGGTGATTCCACATGTTTCAGGTCAGTATTCAGGCAGCAAATTCCCCAGCGTGAGGGGATCATTCTGATCAGACTCCTGAGGACATCTTTCACTGGTTTCATCTTTCACTCCATAAATCATTTCCAGGCCCATGTAAGCCATCTGTAATGCCAGCAGTGAGAGTGTCACCCTTGGAAACAAAAATGCTGGAAACTGAATGGATAGCAAGTGGGACAAAATCTACCAGGACAGAAATCTGATTCCATGAAATATTATTGGGAACACTTGCACGAGGGCAGCAAGCTTCAGACAAAATAATGTGCAGTGGCTGGCATACTAAGAGGCTATTAATTTTCTGCCTCCTCTTGGAAAGTACAATTTTTAAAAGCATTTAAAAGCAAATTTTATAATAATATGGCATCAGTTTGTCTTATTCATTATAACAGCTGACAGATAAAACAGCACTTTTTTTAAAATATGAGTTTCTGCTTGTCTTTCTGAGTTTTTCTTGGTATACTAGTATTTTACTTAATTTAAAATATTTTTTTCCTGTTTTGAGAGGTACATTTCTTTAAGCAGAAGAAAGTGCAATTAGTTTGTACAACTGCAAATTGCATCATTCTGTGGTAGAATGCATTATAAGTAGCATTTAGCAAGAAATATTTGATAACTGCCTCCTCACACCCAACTAACATAATAAGTTTAAGCTAAGTTGCAAAGTGCCCATTCTTTAGTGCTGTCTTTTAATGATTTAAGCGTTTCTGGGATAAACATTCCAGAGGTTCTTAGATAAGTACAGCTACTTTGCAGAAAATGCATTATTTAAAAGCACACAAAACTGAAAACCACTGAGTTTTCCTTGGGTGTGACAGGGAAAGGGGCAGAGAAGTTTCTGACAGTTGGGAAAATCTGATCTTGTGCCGTGTGAAGTTCTGATCACATCTCAGCTATTATGTGGTCTGTATTTACGTTTAACTAAACTGCTTGTGAAATGATTGGCTACATTGTGAAATGATTGCTACACAGACTTTTCTGCTACAAGGAGGTGAAACACAGGATTCCTTTGGGAAGGTGTTTGTATTATAATCACTGATTTTTAGTATTTAATTCCCTCTGCTTTGTGTCATAGAAGCTTTATTTTTGAAAGGACATGCAACGTTGAAATTCTGTTGGTTTCCTATAGAGAGCACTGAGCAGTGTTTGCAGTTTTGCCTAGGAATATGTCTCCATATGTGGAATGCTGGCTTAGGAGGGAGGCTCTCAGTTGTGCTTTTTTCCTGAAGATGGCAGTGTTCTGGTGTTTAAAGACTGAGAGCTGGTGAAAAAGATAGTGGAAAGCTACATAATCAGCCACATCTCAGCTGTCAGTAGCATATGTAGAGGAAAAAAGGCCGGTTTAACAAAGTATAAGTGGCATGTGTTATGTTGGTGCCTTTTGTTTCAACAAGCAGTTTGTATCTCTTCATTCTTGTGGGAGTGCTTAGGCAAAGCTTCCATGTTCCATATATTCTTGTCATGGCATTGCCTGGATGTGCAGTGGCTCACAATGCTTTTTCTCTAACCAGGGAACTTGCTACAACTAAATAGAATTCACACCTTTCTATTTTTAATTTGATGAGAAACCATACACACAGAAACCTAATTCATGTAAGCTGGAAGAGGAGGAAATTCAGTACTGGAATTTCATAGTAGCTGTGTCTCTGGAACAGAATTATGTAGGAGCACAGGTTGTGGTTCTTGTGTGGGTTATTTGGTCCTGTATTGGGAAGAAATTCATACCCTTTCACGAAAGTCATCATGAACTTGTGAAAACAGTGTACAGCACAGTGGTAGGGCATTTGTGTGGGATGAGAGCATTCAGATTAAGCTCTCACTTGTCTTGATTGAAGGGTTTTACACCCCAGAAACCTTTCTGAGGAAAGCTTTTCAGTGTTGAACTGCATTTCTGACTGTGAACAAACAGACCAAAGAGATGCACCAGCTGTACACACGGCCATCTGGTGTGCAAGGAAAACAGAAAATACTACACCAAAGCAGTTTAAATATACAGAGCCTTGTCTTTATATTCATATCCAAAATGTGTCTTTCAAAATGTAAATTCAGTCACTCAGTTCACCTTTCATTTGTAGTATATGTTTATTATGAAAATGTTTGCATTAATAGCTGTATTTGTTGGGGTGTATTTCTGTAACATGTCGTTACTTGATAACAAACTTCATCTTGAAGTGCAATGAGTTTCCATGGGGTACCCATGTGTGTTGGGAGTGCGCCTTGCAGTAAGTGCAGTGCCACTTCATAAATGTTACAAACATTTTATTGATGCTTTTTTCAGTTTTAGATTATAATATCATTTGTCACTTACTACAAAGGTACGGTTTTTTGCATAATAATGTACAGTGTTTGGTCTCATTAGGAAGCTGTTAATTATGGAAGTCTTCTAGAATGATCAAGAATGAGCACTTTACTTCCTAATAAACATTTTATATAATCTACAAAGCAAATATTGTGCCTATACTTGGTTTGTTTTTGATGGAACATGAAGGATCGTACATTTTATTTGTGTTACTTTTAGCTCATACTTTAGATTACCTAATAAAGGGAGTAGAGGGTGCAAATGAACACATTGTTCTGGGCTGATCCTAGGGATTCATTGCCCAAACAGTCCTTTTTTAACACTTTCTTGTAGATTTGTGTTTCTGCAAATGCACAGGTCTGCTTTCTGCTATTTCAGGTAGCAGCTCCCACTGCTAGTAACTGTCCCTTCATTACTTTCTGGGTAATTTAAGGTTTTTTGTTTCTCTGTTCCTCTTTTTTTCCCCCACCTTGTTTCAGGAGGGAATACTACAGCATCTGGAGGTTTTGAATAGAGCTTGGAAAGCCCAGGCTGCCATGTGAAACCCATGGTTCTCTCCGGACAGCTGTATTGATGAAAATGGAATTACTAATGTAAATACATCTCAATCTTAAGGAAATACATACATACTGGATTTATTAAGTATATTAAACCTTTAGTCAGTGCACTATAAAAGTCACAGTGTTGTGGGAAGTGGGAACTATCTATCTATCATCTATCTATTTAATACTATGTGTATGCTGTAACATTGCTGATTTTGGAAGGTTTCTTCAGGAAGTGCAATTTGAGATGCATATTTGGAATAAGAGCTTTTTGGAGTAATTCTTCCATGTCCACAGGCATTACTTGGATGTCTTGTATAGTCCAAGATTCTTGTCCAGTAAATCTAAACAAGAAGAAAAACTTGGTCAAAAAACTGAGGAAAAGGGGTAAAAAGGTTATGATTAAAGTTCTGCAAGAAATTGTCACTTGTATAACAAGGACATCCAGGTTTTAAGCACTAATCATGCAAAATAGGTACAGAAAGGTGGAGTGACAGCTTAATGGTTCAGGCGACAGACTGACATTCAAAAGAGTTGTGTTTTATTTGTGTCACCTCACACTGATGCCTTAACACACACTCAGCTGCTTCCAGCTTGGATCAAAGGGCTGCTACAAACATGCTGCCTAATCACCAGTAATGCTAAAACAAAAGATTTTCTGTCTTGGGGATTCTGGCAGCTCTTCTGTTTTGTTTCTACTCCAAGGAATAGCCAAGGAGCGTGAAACTGCATCCCAGGAGGCAAAGAGCAGCAAACTTGTGCCTTCTGTAACGGGCCTGAATTTGGATGAAATGTGGGAGCAGAGTTCCTACAGCCAGGTGTTCAGGTGTCTTGGAGCAGGCCTACCAGCAGCAGGGTGCCAGGAAGGGAGCAAGAAGGGTTTTGAGATGCGGGGAGTGTACTGGGTTTGTGTGGCTCTCAAAAAGTCATTAGTACTAAATGCAGTAAGATTGCCAAAGGACTGACCATGGCAGTTGGCATCAGCCACAGTTTTGCTGGTGACATTCTGACAAAAGTTGAGACCAGTGATTTCATTCATTTGCAAAGTCGTGGAAAGAGTTAATGATTAGCAGAGACTCAGGGGACAAAATGCTCATGCAGGAATTATTCATAAAAAACAAATCAACAATGTTGATCTCTTACAGAGTTAGGATTTGTTTTAACTCCTGCTCAGGTTTTAAGACTTCTAGTTTTGAAAAAAATAATTTCCAGTGAGAAGAGTTAGGCTTTGTTTTCTCAAAAGTCACAGTAGAGGTGTTTTTGAAATAAAAACTTAACACTGTCAAATATGCCTGTGTGCTGCTCAGGCTGCTGCTTTTCACTGTTACATGGAGAGTGCTGTGATGCAGACTCAGAAACATTCAAAGGAAAAGAATGCTCCTTTCAGGCTAAACCTGAAGTTACCAGTTCATTCCAAAGTCTGAGGTAAGCACACTCCTGTACTGCCTCCAGCTTTGCCTGGTGCTGAGGTGGATGCTGTCAGACTTGAGTTCCCCAACTTCTCAGTTGCAGATGTCTGTGTGCAGAAGATGGAACCACGAGCTGCAGAACCTTGTGTTGCAGAAAGGCAGAGCTGGCAAGCACTGGAAAGAAATTTCCATTTCTCTCAGTGTTCCTGTGATGCCATAGCTGTGTAATGAAGGCCAGCTGTGTTTCCTGGCTTAGTTATTTGAAACAGTTAAGTGAAGAAACAGGTTTGCCAAAGGCTTTAACTGTCTTAACTGGTTGTAATTTCATGCCCAGCAAGAAGAGGAAGGAGACGTTGACTGGGAGAAGAAAAGCATTTACGTTCAGAATACTTCTCCTTTTTTTGTGGCACAAGAAGATGAAAATAAGATCTGACAGGAAAACTATTTTTTTTTTTTAAAAAGAAGGAAAATATTTAGGTCTAAAGAAGTTGTTCATGTCTGTAAGAACCATAATCATAGATTATTTAGCAAAGAGAAGTGTGTCACATGGAAGACCCAGGGGAGCAACTCCAGGAGTCTTTGTTGGCATTGCTGTTATTTACATTATCAGATTATACTCTCTCCTCCTGCTATGTACCTGTTGTGTAAAAAGACACAGCTGAACACTTCCCTGAAGGTTCAAGAGGCAGCAAGTTGATGCTTATAAAAATGGCATTTACCAGTTAATATGAGAAAGCTATTCACCTTTTTTTAAATTTTCTAAATTATGATGTTCTCTTTTAGAAGAACATTTGTCTAAAAGTAGCAGAAAACCTGGCACTGTAGCAAGGAATACTGAAATTTTTTTGTCCAGGAAATAAAAGTTTGAATACTTGTAGTGTTTATCAGCATCGCAGAGAAAATTTGCAAACTGAAAATAAGTAACTACAAACCCATAACAGGGATCATTTGAGTACATTTGACTCACCTTGGACTGATGCTGGTGTGTGTGCAGAAACAATGCCCACGGTGTTAGCTGCAGTGCCTGTCTGCAGCCCTACAGAGCAGGGTATTGCATCCTCAGAACTTGACTCTGTGCCCACTGGGACAGTGGAAAAGTAATCAGAAGGCAGGTGGCTATTTCATAATACTGGGGAGTGAGGGAGTAATTGCAGTGTTGTGTTCTTGAAGAAGCCGGGTGACTAAGATTTTGGCAAGGCAGCTTTGTTGAGAATGAACCAGACATGACCCAAAGCCTTATGGAAGCAAAGATTATTTCTCTTGAAATATGAAGGAAATACATGAAACCGGAGAAGCAGAGTTTACTTATTTTAATAGGCTGGGCTGCTCTTGAGTTTCCACATGTAAAGAAACTTCTGTTTTGAGCTCTTAATCTATACCTATTTCATCTCTGAAAACAAGAGATAGACATACATAAAAATTTTGTGTGATGTTGCTGTCCTAATTATTTTCTTTCTTCTTTCTCAGTGGATATATTCATTATCATTATTGTTTGACAGCTTCCAGTGTCCACCTGACATAAATTCTTTCTGTCTTTTATGGTATTTATTTTTCAATTCTTGCTCTGTACTGGAAAAACACAGAACTGCAAACCTTTTTATTGATTTATTCTCTGTTTTAGTGGGGTGCTACTCTACAAGCACGTTTCTCAATGCCTCCTGGAAAACCCAAATGAAACATTTGTTTTTCCTCACAGGTGGTTAGAATGCAGCCTACAAGGCTCTTACTTTATCCACCAGTGCAGAAGTCAAGAAAGATGATGACATTTTTTTACGCAGCCCAAAGCATCCAGCCAGTGGTAGTGGCTTCATCACTAAAACATGTAGGCCCATGGTGAGAACTAGAGGGTCAGCAAGCACTCAGACACTTGTTAAATCTTTGCTTTTGAACAAATACAATTTATAAACCCTTGTTACACTGTGAAAAATAAGTCACAATGCCCAGGTCAGTGTCATGGGCCTTTGACATGTGTCATTTGAAAAGTCAACAGCCTATATCATGCAGTTGTCCAAGTATGTGTATTTTCCATACTGTGTAACCCTTCTGCCTCCTCATCAAAAGCCATTCATACTGCTCTGCCACCAGGCTTGCTAACCTGCTTCACAATCCACTGAAATAAGTCTTTATTCTAGAAGAATTGCTCCAACAATTGTAATTATTGATTATTTAATATTTTTAGCACAAAGAAGCAGCTAAAAGAGTAGAATTGAGTACCAGTGAGTTCAGTTTTGCCAGTGCCCTTCTGCAAATTAAGAGCTCTCAATTAATACAGGTTTACTCCTTAGGCTGCTCTTAGCATTAGGTTGTAGTTTACTTCTTTCTTCTTCTTAATAAATAAATATAGAGCTTTTTCAGGCTCCTCTGAATTATGGCATTCCAAACCTGTGTAAGTTTTAAATATTCTTCCTAGGACATGACCACTTCAACTGGGTGATGTATTAGCTGTATCTAGCCTGCTTATTTTCTGTTTTTGCCTTTGTGAACATTCACTACAAGGAAAAAGCAATTACTTTCAGTTACTGGCACAAAAAATATCAAAACCTTAGTTTCTGTGCTGAAAGCAATAAAATTTAAAAGTGGTATCTTTTAAGATTATTATCATAAAGTTTCATTCAAACTAATTGAATTAAATGAGTTTAACAACTCTTTAGAAAATATCAACCCTCAGCTTGTGATTTATTTTAATTGAAGTCGTTCAGACGGAGGATATAAAGAAAAATCTTCAACTAGATTGAGTACTCTAAAACCTAAATAAGAGTAAGTCTTTATAGTTTACAAGAGTCCAGATTAAACCACTTGCTGTCAGTGTATGCAAACTAAAGAGGAATTTTCATACATGAAAACACATTTTCAGTCGAGTTAGTGATATAATCAGAATCATTAATTTCTGTACATCACACTTTTTAAATACTAAATGAAAATTACAAAAAGCTGAAGAAAACAATGGTATCAGGCAGTTCTGTCCTTTAAGCCCAAGCAATGCATGAGTCTTAACACCATAAACTACTTGATCCTTGGTACCTTCTCACTAAGATCCTGCCGAAAGGAGCAAATGTCAGGGATAATTCAGCTCCTGAGCCAGCTGCAGTGGAAAGCAGGGATCATTTCAAGACCAATTTGGAGCAGATTAATGAAAAAAAGGCCTAATGAGCCATGGACCCCTAAAAGAATGCTGGACAAATCCACCCCTAATGAGG